GTCTCGTTTATTTTATATGCATGTATCAAATTCTGCCATTCTTGTAATTATAAGGCAGCTTACTTTCTTTGAGTCACAAAAGAATTAATATTCCAAAAGTTAACAAAGTTGTTTCAGGAATTTTGAAGCAAATGCATAATTCTCAAAAGTTAGTGCATATCAGATCTTCTCATCTCTAGCTATTATTTTGCTTTTTAGGATATTCACTTCATCTCCTCCCCTTCTTCAATTTTCAAAATATTCTCCCTTTTTCAAAACCTTCTTGTTTTCAAACTTGAATCTATTTCACAATAAATCTTGACTTTGGCCAAGTGATTTTCAAACTTTTCTTTCTTTAATAAATGTCAATCAATGTTAATCATACTTTGACTAATTTCAAAAGATATAAAAAATATAAAAACTCATTCAAACCTTTTGTGCTTTGTGCACTTTTCCATTAAATTTTTTTTTCCATAAGTTTAGACATGAGTCATCTCTTTAAGCGGAACTATTCACATGAAAATGACAAGTTGTGTTTACATCTAAAATCAATCATAACAAACCAATTGTGTCATTTGTACCATGAACTACGATTTTTTGATCCTATATTGCACTTTGTGGGTACGTAGGCATGAGGCTCAAGAAGTCTCTTCAAACACAAAAATCTTAAAAAATACTTCTCTTCTCATCTCCCCAATTTCTTTTCAAACAAACATTTTCAAACCAAAAAACGTAGATATTTCAAAGCGTAGATATTTCTAATAACAACACTTTTCGTATCCAAAACACTCAAAGATGAAACAAGAACAAAAATAAATGAACACAAATATTTTTATCCTGGTTCACTTTTAACGAAGCTAGTCCTTTCCACTCGCCAAGGTGATTTTGCCTTATAAACAAGGACTTAATCCACTATAATCAACTAATTAAAAACAGAAAAAGACAACACGTCAATGTCTTCTTAAGAATCCTGACTAAACCTTAGTCTCTCAAGGATTACAAACTCGATCAATCAGATACAATAAATGTGTTTACAAGATTGCTTCTAAGAAAGAAGATTACACAAATTTCACTACAATAAATTTACTACACAAAATAAAAACAAAAGCTCTATGTGTGAATTCTTTTCCATATTCAAAAGAATAATATTCAGTTCAGCAAAAGCGTTGTGAGATATTGGATAAGCGTTCAATTTTTTTTCCATTCTTCCAAGCATTTCTTATATAGGCTAGGAAAGATCTGTTGGAGAGTGTAGATGGAAATCTTCACAAATGAGTTGACACCTTGAATAATGGTCTACAAATATGAGAGGCAAAATGGTACAATAGTATAATCATTATCCATAAAATTAGCTTAATGGAAGGAATATTTGATCTTGTACTGTGTACTATTTTTCTCACGTAAAACCTTTTGATCTTATCTTCAATATCTAGAGGCTTTCGATAAGTTTGTTATAAAACATGCATAAGAGAAAATTAAGAATTTGGTTGAGATAATCTTCAGAACCTTTGGTCTTCAGAGTCTTGATCCAGTTCCTTAGAACTTGGTCTTCAATGTTTTTTTGACAAAGTTCAGAGTTGATTGAAGCGCAGGGCTTCAGAGCGTAACAAAATCTAGAGCTCTATTAACTTCATAAACACATAACTTATAGTCAGAGTGCACTAGTTTCAAAGTCTGGTGATGTCATGTGTCATTTAGTCAAAATCAGAACTTGAATATATAATTTGCACACTGAGCAAAATTATTAAGGTACAAAATTGTTCTGTAAAATATTAAGTATTGTTATCATCAAAATATAAGGTCAGATGCAGAACCAAATCTTGTTTTAACAGTTATGACCATCAATTCATTGACTTTTCTCTTAGCTAAAAATCCCAAGCTAACACTATCATTAGACCTTTGAAAGCAATTGTCACCAACTTCGTCACAATTATTGACGTTGTCGTCATTAAAACTTTAGAGATGATCTTTTGCAGGATTGTCAACTTTATACCTACAAACACATAGATCCACAAGTATGTTTTACACATTGTGGATGTTCTGATGTTAAATACACCCTCTTGCAATCACGCATGTGAGAAAAATTATCATCCTTTTTCTTTTTTCAAGTACATATTGATATTTGGTTTTCGAAGTCCTTGTTATACATATTAGTTGAGATTCAAATATTTTGTTAGAGAAATTTTAGTTCTTAACTAACTTTTCTTCTAATTAAACGTGAATAAACAATGGAATTAAGAAAATTTCAATCACTCATAGATTTTAACCAAACTAGATGTGAATGGAACATTATTTCTACTTATTTATGTTTTTTTAATGATTGTTATTTATATTTGTTAAAATTGAAATGACTGATAAAACAACACTGAAAAATTCTTTAAGTTTTTTTTTTCCGAAGAAAAGAAATCAATTTTTAGAAAAAATTGGTTTGTGAGACAATGTCGTCAATAGCATAACAAAGTTATGAGATAAAGATATGAGTTTCTTGAACAAACATAAGAAACCCTATTAAGTTTTACAAAAGGGAGAAAATAAGGAAGAAGAAGAATAAAGAATTAGTTCTAACTATTTTACTATTCACTCTTTAAATAAGGATTCAAAGATTACAAGTAAATACCAACAATTAACCTCTCTCACCCTAATTACGATTTGTACCACACTCCAAAGATGAGAGACTAGCATGTTATTTATAAGAAAACTAACATACTAACCTAATGAGTTTTTACACACAGGCCCATTACACAAGCTAACTTAGGGAACAAGCTAACTTAAATAATTGGGCTTACAAGTAAGGCCCAATTCGACATACTAACTTAAATTACAAGTTAATATATTTCGAAAGCATGCTTGAACAGACTTCGAGTACAGCATGTACAACTCCTGTCAAAATATCAAGCTACCCTTGTCGACACTAGAGTTCATTCCAAAATACCACAAATCTCCACCTTGGAACAGACTCCACTCAAACAAGAGAACAAATTAGCTTTCATGATCTTTGATCCTTTCAACACTTCTAACAAACCCTCTAGAACAAGAAGGGCTTGCATCTTCAAGCGCCACAAATCCAAATTATTCACACCGGTGAATTTCTCAATCTCATACTTTGTTGACAACGTCTTCTTCTCCACGCTCACGACACCAGTTTGTTGTAAAACACTGTCGTCAATAACAAAAAATTTTTATGAGATAAAGGTATGTTTTCTTGAACAAACACAAGAAACCCTATTAGGTTTTACAAAAGGGAGAGAATAAGAAAGAAGAGGAATAGAGAATTGGTTAAAACTGTTTTACTATTCACTTTCTTAATAAGGCTTCAAAGACTACAAGTGAATACCAACAATTAACCTCTCTCACCCTAATTAGGATTTGCACCACACCCAAAAGATGAGAGACTAGCATGATGTTTATAAGAAAACTAACATACTAACCTAATGGACTTTTACACACAGACTCATTACACAAGCTAACTTAGGGAACAAGTTAACTTAAACAATTGGACTAACAAGCAAGACCTAATTCGACATACTAATTTAAATTACAAGTTGATATATTTCGACAACATGCTTGAACAGACTTCAACTACAACATACATAACTCCTGTCGAAATATCAAACTACCTTTGTCGACACTGGAGTTCAATCCGAAATATCAAACTATTATTACCATCAAATGAATTTTAAGTTATCTAAATCAATTGTATCATACCAATTTTTTATAACTAATTTGTATTATTATTTTAGGATACAATGAAAATAAAATAAAAATTATTCCACAATATTTATCCCACATGTAATACTTTTAAAAAAGGATAAATAAAACTTTTTTACTTATCATTCATATCAACTATTGATATATTTTTATTTTCATAAACATAAAATAGAAAATAAAATTCACTAACTTACAATAAAAAATAAAAAATAAAAATTACATTAAAAATTGAAAAGTAAAAATTATTTTAAAATAAATTTATTTTTATAACGCAGTAGTTATAATAAAATAGAATGTAACAAAAATAAAAAATTGATTTTGAAAAATTATACAATTTCTTTTTGTCATTATACCATAGTATTATCGTATATTGTACTGTATGTAGGAGTGTAATCGTTTTGGTTTGGACTGCGTTTTGGTTATAAAAAAAGGTTTGAATCGGTGATATTTCTAATGGTTTGTTTTGATTCCGTTTTTTTAACATTTTTCAAAAATGAAACCGAATCAAACTAACCGATTTAGTTTAGTTGATCGGTTTTTAAATTTTTTTTCAAATTTTTTTTTTATTGTATTCTTCACTATTGTGTTTTTTAGTATATTTTATACTATTATTTTTTTAAATAATATATTTCATGCTATATTTTATAAAATAGTATAAATATTATTACTAAAAATATAGCATTCACAAAAAAAAAAAAACATCCAACTTATATACTAAAAATTCTAATTGTAATCTTTAAGCATCAATTTTTTCATGGAACTAAAAGAAATCTATTCATTACAGCATTGAAAAGATGCACTTGTGTTTTGAAAATACAATGAAATAATAGATAAATTTGTAATTATTAAAAATTATATTGCAAAATTAAAAATAAAATCTTCTTAATAACATATTTCTACACCAATCTATTTGAGCCAAGTCACATAGTAAAATTACCCACTTTTTATTGATGCCTAACGAAGTTGACCCCTTTCTATTTTCTGGTTAGTGTTTGGTTCAATTGGATAGTGTCAAATGTCATATTTGTAGTGGTTTATTCTTTCTCATATTTGGTAGGACAGTCTTGTTTTTCAACATACTTTTGGGTTTAATGGATGTGAAAAAAGACATGTGGAGACACAAACATAAATTTGCTATAAAAAAAAACCACACCGACTTGAGAAACACAAACACTCGTAACAAAACTATGAGAAATAAATACCCCAAATGTGCAATGAGCATTAGATATTTAGATTCATACATGAAACAAAACCAATATTATTAATATATCCAAAATCAAAGTAATGAGTCTTTTCTAAATCTGGATCATGGTTCAACCTACGATGAAAACAAATGGTAAAATAGCACAAACCATCTCTGTCACCACCCACCTCTTTCCCAAACCACCACCACTCTTTTCCTCAGAACTTGACCCCTTCTCAACAGAAGAACCTGGTGTTGAACTGTTTGTTTTGCTAGAATTTCCCAGTCCTTCAAACACCTGAGCTTCAGGAGATTTTGGTGACAAATGCAAAAGATCTGAGAAAAAACCAAATTCAAAAAATGGTTAATAATCTAAGTAGCGCCGACACCTCTGAAAAAAGACATCTGCACAACAGTTGTGATTACGTCTAAATTTTTTAAATTATTACTGGTGTCTCTGTTGAATGTCCGTGTTTCATAGTTAATAATATATAAGTAAAAAAACATGATGAGAAATATACATATAGATATACTTGCCTACACACTGAGATATATTGGATGGTATGTGACAGGCACTTGGAAGGTGAACAGCGAGAGTGGCATTCAAGGTGAAGCCGAGTTTGGGGTCGTTACGATCTTTGATGAGGATACAGATGCATTTTTTGGTCTTGTCAAGGACTAGTTTGAGGGATGTACAGCAATCTATGGTGGGAGTGTTGGCATCACCACCAACGTATGGAAGACAACTTGCAAGAGTAACAAGTTTGTCAGCACATTCTTCTCTGTCTTTTGATAAATCTGAGCTTGCTAGAGTGGCCAGCATTATGAGTAGTAATGTAGTAACCATTTTGTAAGAAACCATTGGAGAGAGAGACAAAGAATACTGGTTGTTGTGAGTTTTGGGAAAAGAATCTCTTACAAGTTCTTTTATGCTTTTGCTTTGTCAATGAATTTTGTAAATGAATTAGTTGAAGGTAGGAAATTCATTGTGGCGTGGGGGCCTTCCTTACTATGTAGTATCACATGTGAGCCAATTTTTGTCTCTAGACAGCTATAGCCTTTGATTCAATTATAACAAGTAAGACTCATTTGGATACACTATGTTTATCCATACAAAAATATAACATATGGGAGGTGCAATTAAGTTTCAATCATTATATTTAATTATATTTTAATAAAAATATCGAAATTTAATTGCACTAACTACATAGGATTAATATTATAAAGTAATCAAAGGATTAAGATAGGACTACATCCATTGTATGATCATGTTCTTACATGCTTATTATTATATGATTTATAATATAACAAGATTGCTTGAAAGTTTAACTAGAGAATTCGATTCCAATTCTCTCTATTCTTTTATTATTTACAAGAATATGAACCCGTGACGAATTGCTAGTATTATTTTATTTTGGCTAACCCGTGATTATTGTGGATCTATCCGTGATTACTTATATAATTTGATTATGCTTAAATTGGACCCACAAATAACGGCCTCTAATCATGATGCAAAAGGAAACATTAATGCCACCGGTTTATTTTCTTCTATGACTTCCCAATGTTGGGAATTTTATATATCTTTAAGCTTATGACCTAAAACAAACATAGGTTTGATATTAAGATTTAACATATGCACAACACAACTTAGAACTAAATAATCATTATCATTATGATATACACTTATTTCTAACTCTCTTTCATAAGGTCTCATATTTGAGATTTGTGTGGTTGTTAAAATATCATTATATGAATTGATTTTGGATCGTACCTGACTAAAAGAGAATCAGTGACCTGTCATGCGTCGTTGATCTGCTAGCTGCTCAACGAAGGTATGGAAGAGGAGGGGGGTGTACCTGAAACACACTCCGATGTCAAAGTAAGTGACGAGCAGAGCGGAAGCAAGTACAGAGAAAGAGTAAGAGAGTTAAGTTACCTGACCCTCTATTGAAGAGGATATTTATAGTGAGCCCCCATCGCAGAGCCAACAGTTACCTAGCACTGGACTGGGCTGTCAGGCCCAATATTAGTAACTGTTAGAGCTGACGTGGCTTTTAAGGACCAGCACGTGGTCTTCGCCCTAGGGTAATTGTCCCGCGCTATTCGGGAGGAGGAAGACCTAATCTCTAAGACATGGGTAGTTACTTTATGACGTGTCCCTGCGTTAGGGATACATGGAGGACGTGGGGGGAGACTCGAGGAGCTCCGCGGGAAGACTGGGCTCTGCCTGACGAAGGGGAAGACAAAGGCTGGCTGGCCGGAAGCGATGGTCCTGCCCAACAGCTGAGGGCCTATGCCCGACGGGGGAGGAATGCTACGCTCGACGGGTCCCTGCTCGTCGGTGTGGTCCTATTGGGCCCAACCTCAGTGGGGCTTGGGCCTGCTCGATTGTGGGTTGAGTCTCGGTCCAGTCCAGAACAGTAGCCCCCAAGTCGTTGTTCGTGGTCAAGCGAGCTATGACTTGAGTAGAGATTGATGTCGGGCGCACTGATCCGTCGGGCAAGATGCGAGAACGCCGTCGGGCGCACCGATCCGCTGGGCGGTTCGCCATTTGTGTCGGCTGAAGGAAAATTGCGATCTAAACGCAGCGGAAAACAAAAATTTCCTTTAGTGATCCTTACGAATGAGCATGGTCAGTGATAGAATCGTTACCTCTTTGTGGCGATTCAGATCTTTGCTGCAGCGATCACAAGCGTTGATGAAGTGCAACGCCTCTACTCAGTCCACACGAACAGCTTCCGGTCACAGTGCTAGCTGCTTACGAACGGAATTATTTGAGTGAGAAAAGAGAATCAAAAACGAAATTGCATCAAGTGAAAGCTTCATCACAAGGGTTCCTTTTATAGACTCTCTTGTGGGCTGCGGGTTAAAACCCAATTCACATGATCCATAATAATATTATATATTATTATAATAACTATTATTATAATAAATATATTTATTTTATTATTATTTTATAACCATTATAAAATAACAATAATTATTATTATATTATCCGAATTTCTATTTTTCACTTAAGTGCACCGTACCTTACGGTGTTCCTTTTTGATTTCTCTATCTCTCATCAAACTGTCCTTATGTGTGTGACCCTGTAGGATTTCGTAACGTTGGTAATTATATTAAATTATATATTTAACATAATAAACAGTAAGCGGTATCTAGCAACACATCACTGCTACCCAAGTCACGAAAATGTCATGTGATCTGACAAAACCTTTTTCGTGATAATATATGTTTGTACAATTACCCTTTTGCCCCTATGTCTATATTGAACACAAGGCATACACTGTGTCATCCTTGTCCAGTTCAATATTGGGCCCTTAGACATTTCTCCTGTCATGCAGGATTGGCAAATTCCATCTAGGACACTCATGTCCCTCAGCATGCTTCGTGGAGTGCCCATCAACTGTCTTTATGATCATCCAGTTACGGATAATGTTTGATCAGCAATAAAGCACCCGACTCTACATCTAGGGTCCATAGTGGTTTCAGGTCGAAGGGTGGTAATACACCATTATCACCATGAGAATAACTTATGACACTTTGCATAACATACTATATAGTATTCTCATAGCGGGTCAATCCGGTATAAATATTACTCCTAATATTTATACCTATGTCAAGACTTGATAACTCTTTATCCATGATCCATGAGATGTGATCATCAGTCTATCTTCATAATAGTCTCAATGCTTTTAATGTTATCCCACTTTGCAATAAAGCTTGACTACGGATATTTTAAGAATAATGTCTTTATGTTTAATGGGATCTCATGATTAAGTCACACTTAACATTTCATTAAACAGATTAACTATTCTAGGGACTTTATTATTCTGAAAGACAAACATAATAAAGAAATGCCTTTTATTATTAAACGAATAATCCGATACAAGTACCAAAAAGTATTGGCCTCTAGGGCTTACACCAACAATCTCCCACTAGCACTAGAGCCAATTAGGCATACCCTTAATACCCATAGATCTAGTATGACCATCATGCTTCTGTTGCGCAAGAGGCTTTGTTAATGGGTCAGCGATATTGTCAAGTGTAGGTACTCTGCATATCTTCACATCTCCCCGATCGATTATCTCTCGAATGAGGTGATAACGCCTAAGTATGTGTTTGGATCGTTGGTGAGATCTAGGCTCCTTAGCTTGTGCGATAGCACCATTGTTATCACAATATAAACCAATGGGATCCACAATGCTAGGGACTATGCCAAGTTCACTAATGAACTTCTTGATCCAAACAGCTTCCTTTGCTGCATTTGAGGCAGCAATATACTCGGCCTCAGTTGTAGAATCAGCAACTGTTTCTTGCTTTGAACTTTTCCAGCTCACAGCGCCACCATTGAGACAGAACACATAACCAGATTGTGATCTAAAATCATCCTTATCTGTCTGGAAGCTAGCATCAGTGTAACCAATTACATCAAGCTCTTCCTGACCTCCATATATCAAGAATGAATCCTTAGTCCTTCTCAAGTACTTAAGGATATTCTTGACAGCTACCCAGTGAGCATCACCGGGATCAGATTGGTACCTACTCGTTGCACTTAATGCATACGAGACATCTGGTCGAGTACATAACATGGCATACATGATAGATCCTATTGCAGATGCATATGGAATCTTATTCATGCGATCCCTTTCTTCCTTAGTTGAAGGGGATTGTGTTTTTGATAAACACAGACCATGTTGCATAGGTATGAATCCTTTCTTGGAATCATGCATATTAAAGCGTCTCAACACTTTATCTATGTATGTACTCTGACTTAGGCCAAGCAGTTTTTGTGATCTATCTCTATAGATCCTAATTCCTAATATATAGGCTGCTTCACCTAGGTCTTTCATAAAAAAACAATTCCCTAACCAAGTCTTCACTTGTTGCAAGGTAGGGACATCGTTTCCAATGAGTAATATGTCATCTACATATAATACCAGAAACACGATCATGCTCCCACTAACCTTCTTGTAGACACAAGGTTCATCTTCATTTTTGATGAATCCATATTGTTTTACGGTTTCATCAAAACGAAGATTCCAGCTTCTGGAAGCTTGCTTCAATCCATAGATTGATCGCTGTAACTTGCATATCTTTTGGGCATCTTGTGGTATGTCAAATCCTTCAGGTTGTGTCATGTACACATCCTCAAGAAGATTCCCATTAAGGAAAGCAGTTTTGACATCCATCTGCCATATTTCATAATCATGATATGCAGCGATGGCAAGTAAAATCCGAACAGATTTAAGCATTGCAACTGGTGAAAAGGTTTCATCATAGTCAACCCCATGAATTTGTTTATAGCCTTTTGCAACCAGTCTTGCTTTATAGGTATGTACCTTACCATCCATGTCAGTCTTCTTCTTGAAGACCCACTTGCATCCTATAGGGTTAACTCCTATAGGAGGTTCTACCAAGGTCCAAACCTGGTTTGTGTACATGGAATCCATTTCAGATTTCATGGCTTCTAGCCACTTCTCAGACTCAGGACCAGTTATGGCCTCTTTGTAGGTCACAGGCTCATCTTGATCCATGAGTAATACATCACCCTGATCACTTATGAGATATCCATATCTCTCAGGTTGGTGACGTATCCTGCTTGACCTACGCTGGTCTTGTTCTACTTGAGCAGGTTGCTCTTCCACAACTACTTGTGTTTCCCGCTCTAGTTCCTCCATAGGTGTTTCAATGTTTTGTGATTCTTGAATTTCTTCAAGCTCTATTTTCCTCCCACTGTTTCCTTTGGAAATAAAATCCCTTTCCAGAAAGACTCCAGTTCGAGCGACAAACACTTTGCCCTCAGAAGGATTGTAGAAGTAATATCCTCTTGTTTCTTTAGGATACCCCACAAATAAGCAT